AGCAAGAGCAATTTTAATACAAACAATATAGAAACATACAGCAATGGTTGGTGCCTGACCCACGACAGGGAGCTTATCAGAAGTTGTCCTCCATGAGGAGTGGCTGATAGCAGAGAAGATGGTGATGCTTGCCATAAAAGAAGGGAGAAAAGACAGGAAGTTACATTACTCACCACCCAGCCCCTGGTCTGAACCATTTAACTCCTTGAGCATATACTAGAAACTTCAGTCTTTACAAACTTGTTTTGTGCATCTTAATTTCTCTGGCCAAGGAAAACACCATTTCACAGATGGGGGAACTGAGACAGATAATCTGCCACCTGTGCAGAGCTGTAGCAACAAATTAAGTCCATCCAAAAACATAAAGGTGTCTGAAAATACCAATCACAAACCTGTGAAAAGTCCTTGGTTGGGCAGCGGTGATAAAAACTAAGACAAGCTAGCAGACCTCACTTGAACAGGCAGCTTTTCTTCACATCTATGGCTAAGCTTTTTATCCTTAAGTGACACCATCTGTTCTGACAGACAGTTTTATAAAATTTGAATAAGGTGACCTGGTTAAAGCATGCCTGTTATATGGAAATGCCAGTGTCATATGTGGATGTGGAAAGGTTATGGATGGCTCATGCAGCTTCTCTTCCACAGTTATCCAAGCACTTTTAGCATCTCATCACAAAAGGCAACACAAGTCTTTTTTGATAGCCCACAACACAAAGTGAGACGTGGTTTTGATAACAATGCTGCAATAACTTTTCTACTATCTTACAAAGGCCAGGCAATGGTGCTCATAAATGATACTCCTTTAAGGTATTTATATAGGCAACTTTTTAACATACAAAGTCATGCTCCATCCTCTCCTGCTTTATAGTATGATCACAATACTGCAAAAAGGACCAGCATCGAGGACATAAGTATGTCTCAGAGCATTTTGTTGACAGGTCTACTGATCACCTGGTTAATGATAACAAACAAGGTCTGGAGATTGCACTATCATTTGGTGGTCACTGGAAACCAAACGATAGTAGGGAAAAGGTGATGGTGGGTCAATGTGAAGTGACCTTCCTCTTTTTCCAACCAAGAGGTTTCTGCCTGAAACTAGACTAGAGCAAAATGTAATCATCATGTCCTTTTTTCCCCACTTCTCCTCACCACAGTTTGACATGACCATGGGCAGCCTCTGTCCCAGCAAAGATTCCAGGAATGTGGCAATGTTGGTTCCAAATCATAATTGAAGGGCACTGGCAAAGTGCAAGCAGGCAAACATTTTGTGTTTACAAATCTACCTGATACCTCATTTCATGTTTCATCAGTGCATTTGGTCCCTTCTTTTGGAAAGCCTTAACGCACCCATAAACAGAGATAAAAAATTTCAGTGCTTGGGTGGGAGATTATAAGAGAGCAGAGCACCCATTTTTTAAAGTAATTGATGGGGATATCTGTGTTTTTTATCAAGTCATGAATCCAGAGCTATATGAAATTATACATGTCTGTGTTTCTGTGTGCTTGCACATATGCTACACTGATATATAGAGAGGACAATTCTTAACCTTAAGATGTGTCACCTACAAAGCACTTGCTATAGGATGTCAACTAGACTGGATGTTCCTAATTTTAAGATTACACGCTACTAGAAATAGTTCTAATGAACAAAGTTTTCTATTTTTTAAATTCAAAAAAACTACTCACAAAAAAACCCAACAACCAACCCACAAAACAACAGGTTCTCTTTCTCAAAGGCGCCTTAACGGTGAAGATTTGAAGGAAGCTGCTGCCCCCTCTTGGTACTACATACAAATGCAAATACTTTGCACTGAAAATGAGGATTCCGGTCACAAATAGCAATTACTAAGTAATATATAAGTTTGGGAGTGGAAATAGCATAAAACTGAGACAGCCCGAAGTGCACTTGCCTATTTAACCAGGCCACTCAAGACAACCTCATTAACTTACTGAGATGTAGGGGTCAAAATACATAGAATTGCCGTGTCTTTCATTTTAAAATAAAAATTAGTAATATGTGACCTGGATTTAAAATAACACTTAAATGAGCACAACAGATCTCAAAAAAAATTCTGCTGGTTTCCTGAATTGTCTTATAACACCCTATGTGTTATAAGACATAATACAGAACTGTCATAAATTAGAACACCTAAACTGCCACACTGGCCAAAAAGGAAGATCAAATAAAGGGGAATGTGTGCAACAGCACTCGACAGCTACACAGAAATCCCCATTTATTGTATATAAAATATCAGGTCCTCAATTCCAAGCCCAGAGTTGCCACCCTCAGCAGCTGAGGTATGTTCCCATTGCAGGGTTTATATTGTATCAGCCACTGGGAATCCCTTCTCACAAAACCATGGATAACCATGCAAATTATAAATCAAAACAAGAACTGGTGCATTCGTGGACATAAGAGGACCAGTACGGGCAACCTACAGCAACCTTCTTCCCCTACCTTTAGCTGAAGAAGAGTCAATAGCAGCAAACTCTCTACAAGTTGGTCCAGCAGGGAGTGAACAAGGACACCCCAGTTCTTATTTGAAGGGAACTCATTCAAGGCCAGTTCAGCAGTGTGATTGTTAATGCTTCCGTTCCCCTAAAGAAATTGATAACAGACATAAACACTTGGACAACAGCAAATAAAATAACATTAGAAAAAATATTTCCATGCCAATCTGGTTTATTTCATTTGACAGAAGTAGTATCTGTGCAAATATTTAGACAGTTAATAGATAAATGAAGACTTAATCAACAGGATTCACAGACATTTATGGATATATTTGAAGACTTGCAGTTTTAACAGAAAAATTACCAGCTGTCTCCCAAGCACCCCTGACTTCCAGCACTACAGGCAATCAAAACATGTCTGACAGTGAATGCTGTTCTTTCACTTTACTTGTTTTTATATTTTCCTAACCTTCTGATTGAGACCCAGCTATTGAAAACCAGGCAGTAGAGTGCCGATGGCCTCACAACTGATGGAGGGGAAGCTGGGGAGATGGCTCAGGTTGCAGTGCTCTTGCACTTCAAAAAGGAAATCTGAAGAAATACAGAGTGCCAAAAACTCAGTGGTGGAATTATAATCACTATCTCCTGTAGAAAGTTACAAAGAAAGAAAACCAGCACAACTTTAACCAGTTTTCCTGCAATCTTTTTTAGGGATCTATAGATGGACTTCTAACGTACCTCTCACAGGGGACTGGAAGGGGATACTCCTGGCAGAGCCTTCAAAACATCAGCAGCTCCAACACTTACCTAGGCAGAGTTGGGAAGCACGAGCCTCAGTGCACAAAACTGAAGGCTGACAAAGAGATACCAAATAATTAAACATTTTTTATAGAGCGTGGAAAATTTAAGCAAGTGACTACAATTTTTCACCTAAGAAGAGAAAATCCTTGGAAAATATCACTTGGCCTTTTTCAGCCATTTGGCTTAGAAGCATTGTCCTGCACAGGAGCAGGCATGAGGAGCAGATACCAAAGTATGTCTGAAGCAGGGGTACACCAGGCCAACACAGCTAAGGCAAGTCAACTCCCAAGCATAAGAAGCAGCAGTTGCCACATTAAGAAAAGAAAATCTAAAGAAGTTGAGTATTTATCTTTCAAAGTCATCACATTTTCCACTTCTCAACTCCTAGGTTCCCTTCTAACCGTGAAACTTCTAAAGAATTAGAAATCACATTGTGTTGGAAAAGACACACTGGACAAGCTTGTAACATTTTTCAGTTATTGTACTATAATTTCAAGCTTGTAAAGGTAAGCTTGAAATATTTTAGCCAATTTTCTTCTCAGGTCACTGAGCTGAGGTTTTAAACAACACAGACTTTTCACACATATCCTAAGTCAGGATGTGTTTCTCTTCTCTTCTGTCACATGTGGATCTCTGGAAGAAAAATGCAGAGGACTATTCAGTGACCACAGTCACTGGAAGCAGCCTCTGAGGTCTTTCAGTAAGGCACTGGGATACAAAGAAATTTTGAATGATCTTCCTTGACCCCAGGTGACATAAAAAAGTAATTTTCTTTCTCCTCTTTCCATTTTCATCTTCATTCATAGCTGCCTCTATTCCTCTCCTTGTTTTATGACAACTCAAGCAAGATTTCTCTGCTTTCCCTCTTCCTTCCATCTGCTGAAGTCACCCATACCAAACCCTTCTAAAAATTTTAGAGCTAAAAAATACTTACAGTTCGAGTCCTCACCAATTGCACATTATGCATCTTTTCAACCAAAATGACTCAACCTTGTCTAATGAGACAGTTCCTACGCTCACAGTTTTCTACTCTCTACTTACACACTCTCAGTAAGTCCTTAAGAACTACCATAATTATACTACTAACCACAGCTACCAGACCACTACCTTTCATTTGAGTTCTCTGTTCATTCAGATGAACTTGATGCTTTAGGGCAAAATGACCACTCAAGTGTAGGTGAGACATTATTTCTTTTAAAATACAATTTAGAATACAAAACAGACACTTAACCTGAACAACGAGACTTTAATATTAGGACTAAAAATTGTAACTTAAACTTATGTTTTGTAACTTCAGTGGAAAACTCAGAATACACTTATTATTCATAATGCATGGGAAACAAAAAAAAGAGAGAAAAGGGCAGTATCCACAATTTTACCCAAATTACTTAATTGGTTGACAGGTCTGGGTCTTTATAGCTCTTCTTAGTCAAGGGCTTCAGAATATTTACGGTATTATTATACAGCCAGATACTGCAAATATTTTTTTTTCAACTGAAAAACACTCAGCAGAAAATGTATCTCAATGAAATTATAAACATATCCTATAACTCTATCTTTCAAAAAATGTAATTTGCTATTAACCATTGCTGGCCAAGACTGGATTAGAGTCAAACTTACGCAGTTTTGGTTTGCCCCATATTAGCTTTTAGGCCAGGTAAGAACTACATGTTTAACAGAAAACTATCACATACAAAGTTGGGTGTTTTTTACATACAAAAAAGAAGAAAATTAAATACAAGTCTGAATTAGGTGCAGAAATCACTGCAATGCAGAAGAGTATATTTATTTGAAGGCTAATAAAAATATATTATATTCAGCTTAACAAGATGTACACATTTTTTGCAAAATGTTCTTCTATCTGCTACAGAAATGAGAGTAACCCATGATGTAATTAGGTTTGGACAAATACAATAAATACCTGAATTTTGTTTGATACAACTGTGCATTAAAACATATTGAGACAGATACAAACCCTCTTCATTGCCAAGAATACACTTCTACAAAGCAAATACTACATACAGCCTTTGATCAGAGTTAAATTTACTGCCATAAAGCATTTTCCTTATCTTACATGCTTTTAATTAACAATGGTCCCAGACGCCAACATTGTCCACCTTTAGCTTAAAACACAATTGCCTCACTGAAAATTTTAACGGGCAAGGAGTTACTCACTTAAAAAAAAAAAAAAGTCACAAAATTATCTTTAGAATATTATTTTATTTTTTAAGTAAAAATATATATACACACGCAAGTAAACCATTTTACACTTTAAAAAAAAATGACATCTGAACACTGACTTTCCTCAGGAATTCTTCCAAGTCTAACTCGTTCAACCCCTGGGAATCAGCAGGACTGAGTCTTCCAGTTACTGACAAAAGGAAGAACACACATTTGTCTACTGAATCTGGAAATCTCATCTTGCAAAACTTTTCTCAGTTTAAATATTAATCTCTAAGCATCTCAGTATGATTACAAATAAACCAGTATGTTAAATTAGCTGGTAGGAAGTACAGAGTAAATGGAGACAGACTGTAGTGTCTGAGCAAAATCCTCCCATTCAAGACTTTCTAAACAAAGACTATAAAAACTGCCAGGAAGGAAATCTGATGATAATTTACTGCTACCTGATTCATCTACTCCTAGTCATGTTCCTTTTGTTGATCTCATTTATAGTTAAAAATAGACAAGGTAAGAGGAGAGAAAGGGTCCAGCAGATGAAGAAGAGAGTATAACATCATGTAAAACTGGTGGACAAGAAATGTTAGGAAAATAACTCTAGAAACATTGCCCCACTTCAGGCTAAAACTGATCAAATGCATTAAACAGAAAATATGGTGTTCTGAGAAGTAAGGAAGAACAAATAAATTAAAAATTTCACTTTTCCCTCAAATAAAGGGAAACTGTACAAGCAAATTTACTGCCTTTTTAAAAAGTTACACGAGTGGTTGGACAAGTCTAATTTCTAAGAACTGCAGCAAGATTCCATAGAGCGGTGATTTTCAAGGACAAAATGACCACTACTTAGCTTTGAACTATCGTTCCAGACAAAGAGGACATAGAGTGTTCCAAGCTACAGACAGTTTCAGAATGCACTCTGCTTGAGTAGCTGTGGGAAGAACAGAAATCTGGATGCAAAGTTCTGGCAGTGGATTCATCTGCTAACACGCAGCCAACGTGTCCTCAAGTTTTTGAAGCTTCAGAAAAAGAAACATGCCTGGGGACCTGTTTCTTCTTCACACAGCTTTATTTTTAAATACTAGTTTCTGTTCAGTGAAAACTGTACAGCCTTGACTATTTTAAAAACCTTCAACAGTATGCTGTATGACAAAGACTATTAAAAAAAATGAACCAAATAATGTTATTCCACTGAGTAAGTGGAACTCATGCGCGCACGCACACACACATAAAACTATCGTGTAAATAGCGAAGTTAAGGGATTTATAAATAGCAAAATCTTTGAATAAAGTATATACATTTTTAGGTTTTTTCTATAAACATATATATATATAGTGCTCCTAGAAGAGACAAAGTAACTGTGTTCTACATCACATTTTAGAACATAAGATTGGTTGATGTTACTCTAAAGGCCTTTGAGCTTTTTTCTTATGTATGTACATCCTACACAGCAACACTTGCAAAGACGTCTTTTCATGTTAGTTCCTCTTTCAATGTACAAAATCTTTTCACATTACAGTTCAACAGCCTGCAGAGAAGCGGGCAGTAAAGACAGCACTGCATGCTGAAATAATAAGTGCGATGACAACGTAGAGCTTGTTTGTGGAGTGTGCTGCACTTCTCCAACAGATCTACAAATGGAGGGTCAAGACACCCTCCTTAACATTGCTGTCTGCAGCCCCGCTGTGGGCCTTTAGATGTACACCAATCAAAAACTATTTTAAGATACACTGCTCTCACAAAGGGAGTAACATTTTGTTTCAACAGTAAGACAATTAGAGGTTAATATGATTGCCATAACATAACATGGATAGGGCCAGACATAGTATCATTCTGAGCACCTTCTGTAAAGTACTGTGCACTCAACTTCCACTGCTTTAAGGATTATTTTAATGTGAAATTAATACGTTCAGTACCCATCAAAACCACTGAGCATTTCATAAGGTAAAGCTAATAATGACCAACTCCATTAGCGGTAACCATATCCATTCAAAACCAAACACTACACTGACAATGCTCAGAAAAAAAAATACCAAAGGGCCCACATAATTGTGAGTAATTTTTAAACTAACTTCACCTTTAGAACCCTGTAATATATTGGTGACTTTAAATTAAAACAATAATTCTGAAAATCTCACCCATAACATTATCATGGGCTGAAAGATCATGATTAGCAAGTAACCCACTGCCTATTTGGGTTTTGATAGTCTTTGCTCAAATAAAAGCTCTGGTCTTTACTATTCTGAGAAAAAAAAATCTGAAATACAAAACTCATGAATGCAATGGAACAACTGCCCCCCTCATCCTTTTAGGGTTTAAGCATGTTTCACACCAAATTTAACACCAGTTGTCCCTTTAAAACATCAAAGGGTCAAAATGAAGCTGGCCACATATTATTCTACTTCCTTAGGGACATCGATGAGACTAAAAGTGGAGCGTGTTGAGGTTATTAATTTTAGAAATCCCACACTTCAGTGGATTACTCTTTTATTATTAAAAGAAATCCATTTCACATGCCATGTGTTAGGTAACTACTGTGTGTTCACGCAAAAGACAGTTTTCCACATTTAGACTTGCTCACAATGAAGCCCTGAGGTAACCGCCTTTTTTCCAGGCAACAGTAATACAGTTCTCTTGACATTTAATCATCCTTTTACAACCTACTCTAGCATATGCAACTTTAAGCAGTCAATATTGATTATCAATTGCTCCCAAAGATGGGATTTGTCCAGTTGATTTTTTTCTTTGATTGATTGTTTTTAGGATAAAGACTCAGCAGAACGGGCTAATTTGGGTGCAGTGTCTTCTAATGAACCTTCAACTGAATTCCCCAGGTCTCCATTTTCATGTCCATCAATATTTGGCTTCTTATCAAACACTGCAAGATAAAAAGAAAGTTTAGTTAAGGAAGTGAAGCAATCTTGGAAAGGACAAATCAGTTGATCTCTATTTCAGAAACCAGAAAGCATGCTGAAATGACTGCTAAATTTAAGCTAACAGGTTTTCAGCAGAACACAGTATGTCAGGAAAACAGGAACTGTTTCTTTACCTCTCTAACTTAACAACTGTATCTGAAGAAGCCAAACAACATTAAGTGTTAAGGGACATTAACTACTCCTAGATTAGAGGCAGAAAAAGACAAGAATAAATTTGAATTTCAAACTTTGGGGAAAAAATTACCATGAAAAAAATCCATAAATTAATTCAGCTAATTCAGGTATATCTAAGTAAAGCAGGCCAAAGAGTGAGGGACCAACCAGAAGAGCTGACAGCCTATGAGTAGGTTAATTCATGCTAATCATGAATTGACAGTAGATTAATTTTACAGTGAATATAAAACAGTATTTTCCAGAAACTGGTTTGCATCCTGAGAATCAAACTGCATGTAACACGTTTCAGAAGGTTTACCTTGTGAAGGTTTGACATCCACATTTGCATCTTTCCTATTAGAACTTGAATTTGCACCTTCCTCTAATTCATCAAGGTATAAACGATAACGGTGTCCACTCTCATCCTCATATTCCACGTTTTCATCATCCGAATCAACTTCTGGAGCAACATACACTACTTCAAATTCAATTTCACCTCTCTGAAATGCAATGAAAATTACAAATTTAGTTACTACTGCACAGCTACCTAATAGGATTACCAAGATGAGCTAGGTTACTAAAACAAATACATTTTATTATTGTAAACACATGTGTTGAGCATTTTGGACGTGTATCTGAATCAAGTTTTTACTGACTAAAATAGCACAGCTCTATAGCTAAGCTGTATATTTTTTACAAAATTATCTGAATTTCTTAGATATATTCCAATACATTTCAAACAGCGACTTCTAATGAGGAAGCTTTCTGCTAAATTAGACACACCTGTTAACTGTCTGAAAAAGGCAGGAAGGTTCTAGACCACAAAGAAACACTGTTTGGCTGGAGCTGTTCAGTCATAACAGATTAAAGTGTATGTCACTAAAGAATTATTTCTGTGGGACAATGTAACAAGCTGATTTCCATCAGCCTTACTGAAGAATCATTAGCCAATACACGAATTTAACTGAACCAGTACTGGCCCAGCATTTTTCCTCCTTACATTTCAAGACGTAAGAGGATTAAGTGTAAGGTGACACAGCCTCAGGAATCACTGTAGCTTAGCATTACACTGTGCTTAACAGTAAACATTAAAATTCAAAGTAATTCAAGAGGCAGAACACAAGAAGCACCTAAACGTGCCTATGGATAACAGGTCCCAACTGACCTGTTGGGAAAGAATAGTTACAGCTTCTTTATGTTTGGCATCTCTTAGATTAACTCCATTTACTGCCAGAATAGCATCACCAACATGCAGTCCTCCACATCGATCAGCAGGTTGCCCAGGGTGGATTTCAGAGATCAGTATTGGAACACCATGCTCCTTCCCACCCTATTTAAGAAAAAAAAAAAGTATATTTTAATTAACTGAGACGCCCTTTAACATAAAATCAGCATGCAGGTAATTGCTCCTAAAGTGCTTATTTCAACTTCTATTTTAGAAAATTAGAAATCATTCTTCAGACAAAAAGAATCTTTAAGAAGAACACATGCAATGCTTCCCTTAATTCTTCTCCCCACAATAGAATGGAATATTTCAAATATGTACTGCAAAGAGTCAAAGGAGGTAATTTTGAACAATAACAACACTATAAAATCATATACAAGCTGATGAAAAGCTGAAAACTTCATTAAAAAAACCTATGAGGCACCATATTGACTTGTAAGAAACAGTATTCATATTTAGAATAAAAGTATAATAGTCAAAATTTTTTAAATTTGTTGTAAAAAGTTCATACAGCTTTTGTTAGGTGTGAGATGCCAACACAGATACTTAGGAAAAAAAAAGGTTATAATCACAACAGCTAAGGTTTGGTAGTCAGGTCTCAGGTTGCCTCTGCTCTTCTACACACTTACCACAATTGAAATTCACCACTGGCAAGTGTCCATACCCTAAACCTCAAAATCATAAGTTTGACATAAAGTAGCAATTATCTATTTTCTAATCTATCAAAACGTGTCTAAGTTCTATGGCCAAAGAAATGGATTTGTGCATGCTTTTTTCATATGCAGGACTTCTGTGTCATAGAAAATAAATGCAAATATTTACTGTGATTGAAATTCCTAATCCTTCATGGTCTTCTTTAACTAGCAAAACTTTTCTGATTGGACCAACACCTTGACTCTTCTTTAAGGCATCAGGATCCTAGTTTGACAAAAAACAAACATAGCACAAACGTGAACATGTGAACCAAAACCCGATGCATTTCACATTTTGGGTTTTTTTAATTATATACAGGCACTGGATGAGCAACAGTGTTTTAGGTTAGCTCCAGGCAGGACAAACTTACAGTGCCTCTTTACAGAAACAGTATGAAATCAGAAAAGATTCTCCATTATGCACCCCTGATGGGAATAATTATTTAAGTTATTTCAGTGCTGAGTGATGCACAACACAGAACTTAACTTCAAAAGAAGGAAATCACCCACATATTAAAAATATAAAGGGACTACATGAAGAAATGCCTATCACTGCTAAAATGTTGTATGACATAATTTATAACTAACCAAATGACAGAAGAGGTAATAGGGTGCCAATGAAGAGGTTGCTTGCTCAAGTTTATTTTTATTGTCATAAACCACACCAAAAGCCATTGAACATGAAACTAAAAGCCAGATTAAATAAATCAAAGTATTGGGTTTTGCTTTTGTTAAGTCACTTGCAGCATTATGCATACTCTTAAAATCACACATACACATATTTGTCCACCAGTATTTTGCATACAATCAAAACATAAGCCATAAGATCCACCTGACCAACTAAGGTATTCAGAACAGATCAAAGTAAAGCACTTTCCTGAAAATGTTTGGGTTTATGCACTGAACACTGAGATAATTAACAGCACATGTGCCACATTGGGTGAGTTCTAAGATACCCACAGTGAAATGCTGTTTAAAGGTTTAGCTTTAAAAAGCACCTTTATGAGGAAAAAAACCCCAAACCAACAAACAATTATTTTACAGTGTCAATTTATATGGTCTTTAAGAAAAAATTGAAATTGACTTCAGTTCAATCTATTAGTAAAAATGTTATTCTTGTTTTCCGTAAGTAAGATAGCTCCACATTTTGAAGTCCAGGTTACAAAATTCTGCTGTTAAATTTATATTTATAAAAACACACAGCAGAGGCTCAGTCTTCAGAAGGACTGGGCATTCCCAGGTAAGTCAAAGGAATTCCATTATCATTCCTGTCATCTATAGGGTCACGCTATTCAGCATGGAACTGTCCTTCAGCATACAAAAGAATTATGCATTTACAAGCGACATTTGAAAGAACACAATATTAAAGTGAAAACAGTCACAAAGTAACTCATGTCTGTTTCCCGCAAACGGTGGAAATAATGGAGGAAGGGCTTATCTTTTCGACTTACATGACCTGGTGGTGCTTGCATCGGTCGTTTTAGATCATTCCGACCTCGACAAGCTCTAATAACAGTTTTGTGACGGTGAAGGTGTATTTCTGCTTCAAGCTGATTCCACAGCTTGTCATGAGCGGGTCCTTTCATGTCTCGGCCCAATAACTGAATCTGCTGGACCCTACAGGGTGACAAGGAGAGTAAAACAAGATGCTGTATTACAGCTGAAAAATCAATGCACTGTACGAGTCATACACTTCACGTGGCTACAGCATATAGTCATGTGGCAACTACTGCAAGAACTGTGGGGATTTTGTTTCTACCTTCTGTTCAATTAACCAGAAATGTGAGACTTTTCTTACTTAGTCTTAACTTTGAACCTGCCTCTGGGGATGCAAAGGAAGAAAACAGCAACTAAGAACGTCTCGTGCTAAGGGAGGCGGATAGACTTCACATACCTTCCAGCTAGCTCCTTATCTAAATACTTGGCTGCTAGTCTTGCTCCATAAACCTCAGCCTGAAGCACAGCTATGTGTCTACGAAGGGCTTCATTCTCCTTCCTCAGCAACTTCACCTCAGCTTCCAGCTGAGCTTCTTTCACTTTTTCTTTCTTGTTAGCTTCAAGTTCTCTCTCCTTTACAACAAAAAGAGAGAAAAAAAAAAAAAGTTGAAAAGCCTTCATCCAGGTTAATAATAAAAGACCACTTATTGTTTCTGCACACACAAACTGAAATTATTCTCCTGAGTACAAGACACACATGCAGGAAAAAAAAGAAAGAAAGCATGGACTCTGGCACTACAGCTAGTGGTTTGCATATTTATCCTATACAAAGGTGGCAAAATTTAAGAAGACTGAATATCATCCCTAATTTTTACTGTCTTGCAAATGGGAGATTCAAAGTTAAAGAATACTATTTTTAAAATTAAAGAGTAACTATAAAGCCACTAAATATTTCAACTGAACCACATTCTTTAACTATTTGATGATGATAATGATGATGATGATGATTATGTCAAGGAAACATTTTATAAGTCCACGTATCCTTAAAATGACAACTATTTTCATGCAAACAACTGGGAAATGTCCATCCACAGACATTTCCAAATTAGAGTCCGAAGACTACATAAATAATGCCAGAGATTCTACACAAGAAGATGCCTACCCTGACAAACTTAAAGGAGAATTAGCGCAAAATAGCTGTGTTAAAAAAAACCAAAAACACCCAAAACCAAAACCCACACTAAACCCACACTTTAAGCCCACCCCCCGAACAAGGAATTACGGAAATATAAATTAGTCTCACAGTGCTCCATCCCAAGTGTACAGAAATGGCACAGTTATTACCTTTTCTGATACCTAGGGCACTGGAGCAAAAGGAATTAGTATGCTCAGATTGCTAATCTATAAAATCTACTTTAAGGAGAGCACGTTTGATTACTCATATCTTCATATTTTGCTCTGTATCTCTTTTACAAAGAGGGAACCTCCTCCCACTGGAAATAGGAAACAGGAAAATGGAAGAGACACAGGGTCTAGTACTGTTTCCTCTAAAAAATGACTGACAATTCAAACAGCAATAAAAACTAAGTTCACCATAATGCATTTTTGAAGACATTTAGAGTACCCAAAAAAACCTGTTCTCTGTGCTTGTATCAATTATATTGTTAAGGAAATAAAACCAGGAAGTGCCACTAAAGAAGCAACAGGACAGATACAAAATTTTACAGAACTGGCAAGACAAATCTGTTATCAAATTGTGAATATGATATTCGCTATTCCAAGCCTGGACATAAAACCACTAATATAGTCAATATTGCCACATTTGAGAAATTATGCAAGGCTGGTCCTCCCAGAGAGTTATTTTCACAACAGATATATGTAAGCATTTATAGCTATTTGACAGAAAGTCAACTCTGAATCTCCCTCAGCTGCTAAATACTTGTATCAGGTTAGACAGATGAACAGAGTACATTACACCTATGTACATGCTGGTCTAGCATAGTGCTCAGTAGGAGTAGCACAAAGACTGCTTGAAACCTGCATTTTTACTTCCTGTCATTCTCATATGCACATTAGAAAAACATGTCACACAAAGCCACTTATGGTCTCCGGTCTTTTGAGTTGGGGCTTGTCTTGTGAGAATGGCTCTCTTCAGCAAATCTCTTTCTGAACTGCAGGATCACTCCTAGACAAGAATTTTGACTGATCTACCTTTCAAGAATAGGAGTTCTCAAGGTTATACCAATTCTCTCTACTATTACTTTGGTCTTGGGCTTTAATTCACAGCTACTGCCAGCAGCCAAAGGGCAATTACAAGAATTCAAGAGCGCCACCATGCTGTGTTGCCTCTGCCACACACTTGGGCAGTGAGAAGGGTCACAGTTCAGGCATAACACCTGTTTTACAGTAGCTGCAAAGTCCATATACAGTATGTATAGGCAACAGTGCCCCTGTTAGCTGTGTACATATTGCCCATATCGCACCAAGGTGCTCTAAGCAGGATAGGCTCCCTGTTTGTATACATACTCACTTTTAGAACATCCTTTATTTGACAAATATCAAGACAAAGACTAGAATTTAAGACAGGTATATTCCAACCTGCCTCAGAAAATTGAATTGTTGAAGTGATCCAAGATATTCGATAACACTAGCATATTTCATGCAGCATATTTTACTGTATTTATACAAAGCAGCCAGTTTATACACTCTCATCAAGACTGAAATGTTCCATTGATTTTTCTCTGAATTTGGTTTGTCATTTAAATTAAATTCAAACAGAAAGCCAAATGTTACATTTCTAAGTAGAATCACTTTTAGTCATGCATTTTAAATGTTACACCTAAAACACAAGTAACAATGCAACCCCATAGAAGTATTTTCTTCCTATTTTCCCCATTACTATGACTACTGTTCTGTGACTGAGGTGGAAAATCACACCCAGAAGCCTTTCTTTTCTGGACTGTCTCCAACTGAGTACCACATGAATTAAAAAAAAAAAAAAAAATCAAAAGGTTTGCAATACAGAATCTCTGAAGATGTACTGAAAGAACCCATCTTGTTTTGAATGACTGTCAGGAGATGTGACAAAAGTCCCAAAAATATTTAAAGAAATCAAAGAAGTTACAGAACAGTTTAATGTTTTCTAGTGTTCATAGTATGGCATAGGTTCTGAAAACAGAAAACGTATTTTCTGTTGGTAATATAAAAAAAAAAAAAACTAAACCAAAAATGCAACTGCCAGGTTGAAGGTCAAAGCTTACAGTTACCAGCTCTTCCATGGCTTTTCAAAAAGCAAATACTGAGTAATGATAAAGAAGGATATAAGATAGTAAAAGTGGAAACACTGTTTAAAAACCTTTCAAGTCTATCACTGTGAAAAACTGGAAGATGAAAGTCACCTTTGCTTCACTTTTTCTTCTTATCTATGTATTACTGTGTTTATATGCTTTTGGCTGTTACACAAGCCAGTACCTCATATTAAATCAGGCCCATAAAAGGAACAGAGAAAAGGGGAAAAAAAAGGAAAAGTTGACAGGATATTTTTTTATATACAACATGCAAAATACTTCAGATTACACTCATAGATGTGCACAGTGTTTATGCTTCGGAAATTGTATAACACATTAACCTTGTTTTGAGATACTGCCAGGACAATCTTTCAGAATGTCAAGCTGCCAGATATCACCCCAAATTAGCTGTAGCAATGATAAATAAAACACATAGAGATTTAGGAAAGAGGGCACCACATCTAGAAAAGGAATTTAAAATGCAAAGGAAATTCTTTACACAGCATCTTGCCAACCGTTAGGAAGAAAGAACAAGCCAGATCTGTTTTGCCAGTTTCTGAGGCCAACATACATATAAGTTGTTGCACAAAACAAAAGCACTGCTTAAACATGAAGAAAAATTGGCAACCAGCATACTTACCATTTCATCCACAGAAAGGACAGACTTAAGACAGAAGAAAAGAGTTCCATGATTAGAGAAAAAGGCAGTAGGAACTTCAAGAAAATGCAACAACATAAGTTACTTACTCCAAAAGACATTCACCAGCAGACTGTAAATTTTATCAGAAGGCATAAAAAACAAGCACATTGCTACAATTGTATTTAGCAACAATTTTGTTATTTTGCTGTGAAAGTTATTAAGAATCTTATTAAAAACTTAGCCTTAGTGTAGCATTAAAAACAATATTTTCTCCTAAAATACCAAGAATCTCTATAAAGGTAATGCAACATACATGAAGGTATCACAGAAAATCCATTCTGCACTATTACATCTGTTATGCGGATAATAGATTTTTTCCTTTCAGAAGGAACAACAAAATATGTGTTATAAGAGGGGCATAAAGGACAGGAAGAAGTATCAGAAGAGGTATATCAACTGCAAAACTCAAGAAAAAAAAATTCAACTAGGAAATTTCATATTTTTACACAGAAAGTGTTATTGTGATTGGACTGAGATTTACCACTCCTAAAAATAGATTCAGCCTAGACCACTTAATGTTATCAACTGCTTAGTAATCTAAACATTTTGAAATGTCCTAGTTGACCACTGTGTACAACTTTACAAGTTACAGACTATCCATTTATGCTAAGAGTCTACATACAAAAGAAGAGTGTCTGTCTCTCAAAGAAAGCAGGAAGTCAACTAGTACAGAACTTTATTTCCCCATTGCATATTGTGTTGACACGGTTCTTCTTTGCCCTCAGAGGCTTTCTGGCTGCCAGAAGGTCAGTACAACAGTTTTTATTTACCCAAATATCACACTTCCCATTTTATTCTCATTTAAGCAGGCTCAGTTTTGCTTGTTCTAGCTTTACAGCTTTCTTTATCTAGAAGAGTTTAAAGTTGAGCTTCTGTCCATAACTGTGAATTCCCTAAAGGCAAAGTAAAGCAAACTCCAAAGACTAGTTCTGATATTTATAAAAAGGAAAAACTAAGGGAAATTAAGGAGAGAATATCAGTCTAAGCCATTAAAAAAATTCAACTTAAACACAGATAAAATCTGAAACAATGTAGAGTAAAATGCATTTATTGTCACCTGTGGGAAGAAAACTGCTGTTAATAGCATGGAGATTTAATATATCTTTAGAAATTGTTTATAACAAGGTAAAGAGAAACAAAAAGGTTAAAAGTATTACTCTCCATGTCACTCAGCAGTTAAGCCTAACTAATAAAATTTACTCACAGTGATGTGTTGACTTAAAAAAATTGCTACATGTAAACCTGCAGCCTAACACTTACAAAATGCTGGTGCTAATTAACTCATGCTTATTTACAAAGCCATAAGAATTATTAACAGCTCTAAACAAATTTCATCATACTTCAACTATAAATCAGTACAGAACAAATTATGTACAGACAACTCAGAAAATATGTAGGCCTAGGAAGACAGCTCTAATTCAATCACAGCTTTTGGATCTGAAACAGAAGAATTTGGGTTACTGCTGTTATTCAGTGATTAGCCTAGACATCCTTTAAGCCTTACAGTCTATTACTGTATTTTATTGTACATTAATTAACAGGACAAAATAGCAGAAGTATTTTCCACATACACTGGGACAAGGTATTTGCAATCCAACTGTGAAGCAATTTTAGAAACAGTCAGAGATATACTTGGATTCACACCAACAGTTAGAAAACACATCTCTACAACACTACATTACTTTTCTAATTTACAAAGTCTTAGTGTTAGAGCCTGAATTTGTGCTGTGGCTAGTAACAAGGCAGACTAGGCTCTGGCTGCCAGACAATGCCAACTAATTGCCCAGATTAATTATTGTTAACTTTTGGTGGGTTTTGTAAAAGGACTGAGTTTCTAAAAAACATATCATACAAAATTATCAGTGGTTTATTGAGTTCTTTTACAACAGTCTCCTGCATGTAGCAACAGACAGCACCATCAGTGCATCCACAGCACTCTTAAAGAATGATCACAGAGAGAGGAGTGTGATGCCATCTACTCTCTCTCTCTTTCTGCTTGGCAAACCAATCCCATTCTTACTCTCACCAGACTGTTATTACAATAAAAAAAATTAACTTATTTCACTTTAGGCTTTTGCAAAATCTGTGAAAATGTGGTTGTGTCTGTTTATTGGAAACTATTACCTTTTGTAATTTCAGTCTCCAGAAAAGCTCTATAAATCACCAAAATATTTTCTTATTTTACTTTAGAAAACCACTATGTAAAAACAACCTCTTAAATTCTAGTTCTCTATTCCGACATTATTCATGTTGTTTTTAATGGTTGCTAACAGCCAACCATAAATGTTACTTAAAAAAGAAAAATATAACATTTCCAACGTGAAAATCTGTCATCAGCTTATTAACACCTTCCAGAGAAGAAATTCGGTCAGAAGAGGGAAAAGAATAATATAACACTAGATTTAAGTCATCACACTCACCAGTTTTGCCTTAATAGTCCCAGAATCAACACTCGGACCAGTCTTGGCATGTAGCTGAAGCTGAACAGCATGGAGTTGCAAAAGCTGATCATGCACTTCCTTTTCCAAGACTGCTTTCTCTGCCTGTGTTTCCGTCAGTTCAGACTTCAGATCAACCAACTGTGCCTGTGAAGACACAACCCGTCAGAGTAATGAGCAGTGATTAAACAGGGTCACCAGAACTATGATACATAACACATCATTTGCTGGTACATACATGTTACACATGGTGTAACACAGCTAAGAGCACACGCTGTCATACGTTCCTCTGTAGTCCAACTTAACCACTGTGTCGTTTGCAGGATTTTCTCCCCAACTGCCACAAAATAATTTACCCACAAAAGCAGCATCAAACGGCCCTACTGCCAAAAGCAACAACCGCTGAGTTGCAGACAATGGCATGTGATGCCGATGCCCACCCCAAAACAGGGAAATGGCATTAAATCTATGTAGGATTTACAACCATACCAATGTAAACACAATTTTAAACTGTAAAATTATTAAATCTTACTGAAAAAATATTGATCAAAGCAAAATGGTATTTATTTATGCAATGCTGAGATCAAATAATTTTATTTACAATTGGTCTATTATCAACAGTTTAACTGAAATAGCAAATTAGGTGGGTAAACCGGAAGCCACAAATTAGCATGCCCCTAGAATGGATGTGTAGAAAACAAAAAATAGTTATTAACTCTTGAAAAAGTCGTTTTTTTGAAACATTTTAAAAACAGTTTTCATGTAGGGTTTATATCTGGAATAAAAGAACAAGTTTACCAAGTGGCTTGTTATCCTTAAGTTCAATTAGCATTTTATAAGACAAGATACATATATATATATATATAAACTTTAAAGCCATTATTTGAAAAAACAAACAAACAAAAAAACCCCAAACCAAACCCAAAACCAAAAAACAAAAACCAAACCAAAACAAACCAAAAACCAAAAAACCACAAAAAACACACACACACCAGAATATGATTTCAGGGGATTTTTAGCTAAATTCCCAGTGCATATTTTTGCTTCCAAAAAATTTGGAACTAAAGAGCAAAAAGGAAAAGCCACTAATTCTGAAAAAAAAAAAAAGTCATCTCATACTAAAGTAGGGTATTATAACAACATTATACTAATGTTCAAATTCACAATGAATATCAAGTTGCAAGTTGCAATGCTCACCCCATTCAACCAGCCAAATCACTGCTATAAAATGTCTGTATCAGTTAATGAAAAGAAAGCAGGAAGGATTTGACTATCAGTGGGGAGTACTTACTGCATCTAACTTTAGGTACGTAATTTAAAGGGACAGCCTCCTTAAGCTTCCAGAGTAATTCAGACATAAGTTTGCTCTTCCAGAGGTGCTTCAGAGCACCTAAATTAAAGTGCAATTTGATGAGATGGGTCGAGCCAACCTCCAGTTTTGCTGCTGCCAACAAGAACATCTCCCTCCCCATGTTTTGACTATACCCTCTTGCCCCACATCTCCAGGACTGGAGGGTGGGAGATGATCTGCCCATGAACTCTGCTGATTTCAGACCAGACTGCTTAGGTGGAGCCTCAACAGACCAGGTAAGCATTTACTTTTGCCAAGGAATGGAGCTGTATGCATTTCCACCTTCCAACTGCCAGAATGAAAAAAAAAACCTTGAAAAATTTGTAAACCCTTGCAGAACTCCAAAGCAGAAATTGCCTTCTACAGTAAGATGATATTTAAAATACTGCACAGCCAAATAGTTTCAGAGAAATGAGCTACTTGCAAAACTGCATTGTTTTCCCCAGTGACCAGCCATGGTTACAGTCTCTCTGCTGTGGATTATCTACCCTCCAACAAAAGCAGACACACACCTGAACTAATGCAGCAAAAGAAAATATCGCTGGCATAAAAGGTGATGATATGGTACAGAGCAGACAACAAAGACCTTAATAATGAAGGCACAGTTTGTCCCAGTCGTAATTTATGTATAAGAGTATTTTCTTATTATTACACAAGGTACATATTACTTCTACTTAAAAAAAAAAAGACCACTAATGTCTTTCTCCTTTGTAACAGCTGGTCACAGCTCACACACTGACTTTTATTGCTTTTTTATACATGTAAACACACTCTCTCATCTGTTTTAATTCAAAATGCCCATAGAAGGACAAAGGGGTAGAACAGATAGATTAGAGTACTTTAATATTGTCCAACCTCACTTAGTAAAGAATGGCAGACAAAACAGAGTTCTGGTGGGAGAAAAGAAGAAATAAATTTATTTCCCTGTGCAAATTACAAAGCAGCAAAAATGACAGCTACCAGTTTTGTGGCATGAATGATGCTCCAAAAGTATCACAAAAAGACTGTCAAACTCATAATAAAAATTAAAAATAGTACTCTGCATATGACCCATGGTTTAAATTCATGTCCTGCTGTTTTAGTCATGAAATGGCCTGGGTTGAAAAGGACCATACATATCATCTAGTTCCAACCACCTTGCCATGGACAGGGACACCTTGCACTAGACCATGTTGCTCAGAGCTCCATCCAACCCGGCCTTAAACACTTTAAGGGATGGGGCATCTACAGCGTCTCTAGGTAACCTGTTCCAGTGTCCCACCACCCTCACAGGACAGAAGTTCTTCCTAATACCTAATCTAAACCTACCCTCTCTCAGTTTGAAACCATTCACCCCTGTTCTGTTACTACATGCTCCTGTAAAAAGTGTCTCTCCATGTTTTTTGTAGGCTCCCCTCAGATACTGGAAAGCCTTAATAAATAAAGAGAAGAAAATAAAGAGAGTAAAATGAGAAATGGTATGAGCATATATCATGGAAATAATCTGTTTACTCATTATGGGAAGTCACAAATCTATCCCCAGGTACAGATGCAGACACAAGAGACATTCCAAAATACAAACACAGCAAAGCTGGTTTCACATCTTGTGATCACTTCTATGAAGGTTGACAAATCTTTACATTATTTCACAGAAGTCCTGTCATTCTCTGCTTGGCCAGGTCATTTAATTTTCCTTTATTTTACTCTTACTAGCACTATTTTTTACTCAAATTCCCTCAGTTTGTTATAAAGGAAACCTATGGAAATTCAACAGCTCTATATTCAATTTTGGAAGCTACTCAGTAAAAAACAGAGAAGGGCAGAGACAGCAGAGGAAATGACGAGCACAAACAAGAACTATCAGTAAGGCCATTCCTTCCTAGAGCATCATTCACTGCAGGAGGCAATAGTTTGACAGAAGAAGATGGTGCCAAATAATATAATTTTAATATTTCAATTTGTATAAACACAAGGATAAATTAATGTTGCACAAGCAGCTGTACTAATCCGTCACTGGCAGCTTTTTTGGATGTATTCTCCAACAAGACTGTCGAAGAGAGATGTCATGTATATTGATGGTCACCTGCAACTGCTCTGGAGTTTGCAGAGACGTCAGCTGTGGGCAGAAGTAACAAATACCCAACCACAGGAGACCATTGAGCTTCAGGGTTAGGAGAGTTCAGGAAGAGCCACCAAACAACAAATAGAGAACAGAAACTTTCACTGGGGAACAATAAGGGGCAAAGGGCAAAGAGAAGGTAGTGTGTTTACTTTCATAACATCCTTTTAACCGTAACTTGCTGATTCAGCCAGAAAAGGAACTCTTCTGGGCAGCATCCAACTGTGCAGATTAGCACTTATCACTCATTAACAAGTACCATACTGCAAGGTTACACCTCAGTTTCTCTCAGCTAACTCATCTGTGTCTATGCCCCAGCCAACACACAGCTAATATCACAACAGGACTGTGGTTCACGGAAGTAGGATTTAATCATGAAAACCTACACCTAGACCTAGATGAATCAAGGACACAGGACATGAGAGACAGAATTTGCACAGCTCTTTTTTTCCTTTTATTCTGGCACATGTTGGCAAAGTCAATGCCTTCTGAGATATGCTCATTTGTCTCTGACTCACTGAAGTCATGGATACTTTTCTCAGACCAAGATCTGTAACTGGAATTCAGTGCCAACGGCAATAGGAAGTGCTGGTCTGGACCTTACAAAGCTTACTGAAATCAACTAGAAAATAAGGAAATTTCTTAGTTATTAAAGGAAGTCAGGCTCTTGCTTCAATTCTCCACTTTTCCCACCTCTCTTGTCATAGACAACTTTTCCTGAAGTGCCCTGAAAAGTGCTTCAGTTAAGCACTGCCTGCTGAGAACTCAGAGAAGTTACGTAAATGAGTCAGCTTGGAGAACACTAAGCAAAAAAAGAACAGCATTACTGACATCACTTATTCCTAAGTACCTCATTCAAACTTGTTCTCCAATTTATCAATAATTATTAAACACATTACTGTTAATTCTTAATGTCCCTAATCCATAGACTTCAAGTATACAAGACACACTCCTTGGTTTCTTACCTTTTTTCTCCTCATTGTTCTGAATAATAATAAAAAAAAACCAAAACAAACCAAAACCAAACTAACCTTTAAGAATTACATGATCTGTCTGTGGCACAGGGAGAAAGCCTGGTTTTCGTTCTCCTCCACAAAGTACTAGTAAACACACAGCATTTCAGAAAGAGTTACTGCTTCAAATTATCACATAAGCTAGTTCTAAATTCTAAATAGAAGTCTTCAGTTGAGTAAACTGAAGATCTTAGTCATATTCATCAAATAGTACAACTCAATATTTATCTTCCAAATAATCTAACATACAGATGATACCAGAAAAAGAGTTTTGAAAGGCTAACTAAATATTTACTCAGTTTTGGGGCAAATTTTGTCATTTACCAGGTATTTTGTATTTCCCAGTAGTTTATACCATATCATATAGTTTTTTCATATGATGGTCTGAACTCTCAGAAAAAAATACTCATTGAGTCACCTGTATATTTTTCATAGAAAAGTGAGCATCAGAATAACTAACCACAAACTATTTATTTCTGTAAGATCTCAGAGACACACTCAAAGATCCTATAATAAGTTTATACACTGAAAAGATTAAATACGTGACCTTGCCCTGAAATACTTACAATGTACATATGTGAAGGAAATGATGAATAAATGTAACATAAAGAGAAGCACAAGTGCAGAGGTATTTGTGTAGAGAAGTGCACAACAGGAAGCAGACAGATGGCAGCTAAAACCGCAG